ATCAAAGGTCCCAATGCACCTAATAAGTTGGTTGGCTTGGGTAGTTTTTTGAGAGTGGAGACTGGAACTTCTGTCTTGGGTGAGGGCCCTTTGGTAGGCTTTTTTAAGAATTTTATTAGGGTAGCCACGGCTTTTGAAGCGAGTTCTTAATTTATTCGCTTCAACTTGGAACGACTCATCATTAGAGCAATTTCTCCTAGCCCTCAAATATTGACCGTATGGTATTCCAGCCTTCAAACGATATGGATGGAAACTGTTCCAATGTAGAAGGCTGTTAGATGCGGTGCTTTTCCTATGTAATTCTGTATCATCTGTACCGTCAATATTGAGCAAAATTTGAAGGTCAAGGAATTCGAGTTGCGTTTCGTGGATTACATATGTCAGTTGTAAGCCGATTTGGTTATTATTAAGCACCTCCACCATGTCTGTAAAGTTAGAGACAGAGCCTGTCCAGAATATTAAAATATCATCGATGTATCTTAGCCATTTATGTATACACTGATGGAATCGGTTAAGTTGTGGGTCTTCAAAGATGTTCTCTTCCCACCACCCCAAAAAGAGGTTTGCATAGCTAGGCGCACAAGCAGTGCCCATGGCTGTACCACGCTGTTGAATACAAAATAATTGTGGGTTAATACAAACTCCAAAAGTGAGAGTATCAATTTTATCTGTTCTGAGTTGTATTTGGAGGATCTATGTAAAAAATAAGATGTGGCCTGTAGTCCTTTGTCATGCGGGATGTTGTTGTACAATGAAACAACATCCAGACTGGCAAGAAGGGAGTAAGGAGGAACCACCAAATTTTCTAATAGCAATAAAGTCTGTTTGGTATCTTGTACATATGAGTCTAGGTGGATTACAAAATGGATGTAAAAGTTGTTCCAAAAATTTACTTGTTTTTTCGGTCAAGGAATTATTCCCTGACACTATAGGTCTCCCTGGAGGATCTGTTAGGCATTTATGAACCTTTGGGAGACAATAAAACGTTGCGACCGTGGGATTGTTGTTTGGAATCATGAACTGATATTCCTCCTTTTTAATTAGATTATCTTCGAGGGCCTGAGTTAGTAGTACCTTTAGTTCAGTGAGAAACCCAACTGTAGGGTCTTGTGGAAGTACTTTGTATTGAATATTATCTTTAAGGTGTTCCATACACATGTTAATGTGTTTCTCTTGATCCATAAGTACTATATTTCCTCCTTTGTCGGAAGGTTTTATGATTATATCCTTATTACTGCTAAAATAAAATAATCAGCAACCGACTTGCTCCCATGTTGGTCAGTTTGGTACATAACGACCAATCGGGGTTCGTCAGGGGACGTCAAGGCTCAGATAACACCCGAAAAGTCCTTGACATACTGGCCTCGATGGAACGCAATTCGGTTGGAGGCCTTCTCCTTGCACTCGATGCAGAGAAGGCCTTCGACAGACTAAACTGGTCATTTATGCAGCAGGTGCTCTTGAAATTTGGATTACCCCCTGAGTTTACTAGGATGTATTATGTCACTAAATGCGACACCGACGGCCAAAGTCTCACACAGAGGATTTCTCTTCGATTTGTTCCCTATAACGAACGGGACTAGACAGGGCTGCCCTCTTTGCTCTACATTCTATCCCTTGAACCCCTCGCCCAGAAAATACGCACACACCCGGACATACAAGACATTACAGCCATGGGAAGGGAATGCAAGTTGGCGTTATTTACCGATGACATCCTAGTGACACTAGGAAACCCACAAGAATCAGTACCACATATTATGGAGACACTGTCAAAGTTTGGCAAAATATCACATTACCGCCTAAACCAGGACAAAACCCAGGCCTTACCAATTAACCTCCATCGGAATACTAAAACCTCCCTGAAGGAAAAATACACCTTTGATTGGAGGGTGTCATCCCTAACATACCTAGGTGTGAAAATTGCACCCTCACTAGCCGAAGTAGTAAAAATCAACCACCACACCCTCCCCCAACAATGCACAAAGGAATTTCATAAGTGCTCACAGACAAAGATCTCATGGCTCGGGAAAATGAATGCATTTAACCTTCTTGGAGTCCCTAGGAAATAAGCACACGTTCCACACTAAAGCACCAATAACAGCCTTAAAGGCTATCTCACCAGACATGCACATCCAGACCTGGTTACAGGCAGGAATTACACACATCCACCATCTACTCCAACCCCAAGGTGTGCTCCCATTCCCTGATATACAAAAGATATGGAACTTACCTACCAGCGCCATATTCACGTATCTACAAATAAAGGGCATCATCACCTCACATGTAAAATGTCAACACTCCACTCCCAACCCAATATCCCTCCCAGCAAACGCAATAATAGAACGTTGTTGGGGTAACCCCATGAAGCCAAAGGCTATAAAGCGTGGGAGGCCACCCTAACCCTGGTTGCACCACACTGCAAAACACTACGGGAGAATAGATGAGGATTGGATTCATACACTCAATGACCTATCCAAATGGACACAATGTTATACACACATAGAAGCACACAGAAAGCTGCTTTGTAGGTGGTACTTGACCCCAAACAAGCTTCACAAAATATAACCAAACACGGCCACACTATGTTGGAGATGCAATGCAGCAGAGGGTACACTGATACATATATGGTGGACGTGTCCTACCATCCAGCCCCTATGGAGGGATGTACAACACACGCTCCACACCCTACAAGTGCCAGACGTCTCAACAACTCCAGAGATTTATCTACTCATGCATTTCCCACCACTATTTGACAAAGCACACAAACAACTAAGCGCAATAACCATACTAGCAGCCCGCAACATACTAGCTTTCAACTGGAAATCCACTCTATTCCCAACTAGATCCCAACTATGGGACAAAATACAACAATTTTACACTTTCGAACGTATGGTCCTATCCGACAACAAAGAGACACAAGTATTCCACACAACTTGGTCCCAATGGGTCAGGCTAAGTGCAAATAAACAATAAAAATGTGACACTGTTATAGCCATAACCTCATACCCACATGTCCACCCCATGTCTGTATTGACTGCCACACCACAACAAATGAATAAAGCACTAAAAAGAGCATGTACCTCCCACACACAATTAAAAGGCTCAAAACCTTTACCTTCAAAACAGAAGACGGAGAGGGTTGTAACCCACCGAAAAGCACTCTCACAATCCTCTACCCCCCTTTTAACCTATGGGATATCACAAAATGTGTTGCTGAACGTTTATTTCATAGCAGGTCCTATTATTGGTATTGTATTGGTATTATATTAGTATTATGTAACAAACAATAGAGTGTATTAACCTGTGAGACGAATGTCACCGTACAACAACCATGTATCCTATGTCATGTTACCTTGCTGAACTGTCTGTATTGCCTTCCCTTTTTCTTATGTTAAAGTTCATTTCTCATGTCAATGCCGAGATGTTATTGAATGCTAAAGACTAATAAAAACTATATTGGAAAAAAATGATAAATCAGCAAACTCATATAGAATACATTTTTATCCATTAAAATTAAGAGGTAAATGTGTAGAGCAGTGGCATACTTGTGGTAAGCAAGGGGGCATCTGCCCTAGGTGACAAGCAGCAAAAGGGTGCTCTGCTGTTGTTTCTGTGATGTGGGGTGCCGAGGAGGCTGCCACAGGGAGCACTGCCTTGCTGGAGCTGTGATATTACATCTGCAGTACAGGGCAATAGGGAGCCGGAAAATCATTATAAAGACTTATCCCAGAAGCAACTGGACCCCACTCCAGCTCTCCCTGTCAAAGTAAGAGCAGGGAGGCTGGGTGAACCTCATCATTAAAGGACCACTCTAGGCACCCAGACCACTTCAGCTTAATGAAGTGGTCTGGGTGCCAGGTCCAGCTATGCTTAACCCATTCTTTTATAAACATAGCAGTTTCACAGAAACTGCTATGTTTATGAATGGGTTAAGCCTTCCACCAAAGCCTCTAGCGGCTGTCTCATTGACAGCCGCTAGAGGCGCTTGCGTGATTCTCACTGTGAGAGAATTACAATGATTCTCCCGGGCGGGAGTGGGACCCTGAGGGTGTACATGAATTTAAGTGTATGTGAGCATATGAATGTGTATTTGAATGTAAACATGTGTGTGTAATTTCCCTAATAAAAAAAGGGGTTGGTGTGTTGCAGAGGGAAACGCTCCCATTCTTTTTTTTTTTTTTTGCAGTTCAGTGAAGGGGGAAATACATTTCAGTTTTGGGTGCCATGTAACCTCTGGTGTGGAGTGACAAGAGAAGGCATTATATACCACCCATATTATAAAGAATTGTATAAATTTCAGTTTTTCTCTCAAATTGCATCTGCAAAATCTAGTGTGGCTTAGTTAAATCAATCCGGTTAGAAGATCTGGGTCAGGTGCAAAACCTGTCAAGCAGGTTTTTTCATAACATGAAAGTACACTGAAATAAACAAATACCATCTGTATAGCATGTTACTTAGGGAGTCTAAACCTAGCCAAGAAGTAGAAGGGAATGCATATAAAAAACAGGTTCCATAGTAACTCTAGTCATAAAATCTTTGACATAACAGGCTCTTTGTTACAAAACATTTATAACAGTTATGTACGTTTAATACTGAGATAGATTGCATTACAAACAAAATACATTTCAGGAGCAATAGTGAAAGAAGAATTAATAAATGGAGGAACTAACTCTCATGTTCATTTCAGTGGAATGTAGACAGGGCCAGACTGGGATACAAAGCAGCCCTGGAAAAAAAAAAATCTGTGCCAGACCCATAAGTTATTGCGCCATATATTGTCGCATGCAATATGTAAGGCAATGTCTTGCCACCCCAGATGATTGAGTAATATATCTATATATATATATATATATATATATATATATAACTATAAACAGATAGCACTCCAAGGACTAGTTAGTAAGGTGAAAAAATAACTTAGCTTTTATTCAGCAAAATGCCATAGTGAATCAACGTTTCAGTTTCTTATTGGAACTTTAGTCAGGATATATTTTATAAATATATATGTATGTGTGTGTGTGTGTATATATATATATATATATATATACACACACACACACACACACACACACACACACATATACATATATACACTGCTCAAAAAAATAAAGGGGACACAAACTGAATGAATTAAATATTTTTCTGAAATACTTTGTTCTTTACATAGTTGAATGTGCTGACAACAAAATCACACAAAAATTTAAAAATTTAAAAATGGAAATCAAATTCTTCAACCCATGGAGGTCTGGATTTGGAGTCACACTCAAAATTAAAGTGGAAAAACACACTCCTGGCTGATTCAACTTTGATGTAATGTCCTTAAAACAAGTCAAAACGAGGCTCAGTGCCTGTATGACCTCCCTACCATGCCTGTATGACCTCCCTACCATGCCTGTGCATGCTCCTGATGAGGTGGTGGATGGTCTCCTGAGGGATCTCCTCCCAGACCTGGACTAAAGCATCTGCCAACTTCTGGACAGTCTGTGGTGCAACGTGACGTTGGTGGATGGAGCGAGACATGATGTCCCAGATGTGCTCAATTGGATTCAGGTCTGGGGAACGGGCGGGCCAGTGCATAACATCAATTCCTTCGTCTTGCAGGAACTGCTGACACACTCCAGCCACATGAGGTCTAGCATTGTCTTGCATTAAGAGGAACCCAGGGCCAACCGCACCAGCATATGGTCTCACAAGGGGTCTGACGATCTCATCTCGGTACCTAATGGCAGTCAGGCTACCTCTGGCGAGCACATGGAGGGCTGTGCGGCCCCCCAAAGAAATGCCACCCCACACCATTACTGACCCACTGCCAAACCGGTCATGCTGGAGGATGTTGCAGGCAGCAGAACTGTAGCGGAGAGGTAGTATAATCCACAGTATCTCCGCTGGGTAACAGGAACAGCATAAAATAATCCAAGGCAATAAATACTGCATACAATAATCCTGGTAGCATTATAAGAATCCTTCCTTCCCAAGAACTAGACGACACACACACACGGCTGGAACTCAACTGAGGTTTTATTTTCAGGTCACAGTATTTATGGGATTCCCCATGCAAGGGGTTTCCCTACTGACATTTCAGGGGTGGTACAGTAGGGGACTACATGGGGAACTGACTCACACATACATTTCTCCCATCATGCACTGCTGGACGAGAGGGATACTCCCACTGGAATATACCGTTAATGGGATTATCCCTCCGTGCAGCAGAACTTACATTTTACATTAAAATTTATAACTTTAATAATATTCCCTTGGTTTACACGAATGGACGTTCGGTAGATAGCTGGAGGCTGAGCGCAGAATACCGCTCAGCTCCCAGTCTAACTAACTGAACGCCTCACAAAATACACATTATTTCTAACACATTGTTAAAATACCGATTGGTATTAGGGGAACAAACTACCGAATGGCCGGGGCTCCTGAACGGCCTGCAAGTTGAGCGGTGTTCGCGCCGTCGAGTAGCCGATTTTAGTTCCAGGCGCTCGACGGCAAAACACTGCAGGGCTAACAAAGGATCCAAGATGGCCGACCGCCGCGTGGTCGGTATTCGAACGACGGCCACCTAGGGAAGCCTTTAACTACGGATTGCAACAATGTTGCAATTGGTTAATGGGCGCCACACAACCTCTTGTGTGTGGTCGACCATTCGTTAGTTTATTCATTTCACGAACAGTGTTGAAACTCACTGTTCGTGAAACTACATTAAGAATACTGGTTTTCCACATTGCAAGTGTACGAACGCCCTCATTCGTCTAAAAGCCACATACAGTATTACACTTGGTTCTCACGGCTGAAACAAGGATGTCCACACATGCAATATATGAATAGTCTTAAGTGGCTAGTTTTGCCACAAGAATGTTCTCCACGGCATCTCCAGACCCTGTCACATCTGTCACATGTGCTCAGTGTGAACCTGCTTTCATCTGTGAAGAGCACAGGGCGCCAGTGGCGAATTTGCCAATCTTGGTGTTCTCTGGCAAATGCCAAACGTCCTGCACAGTGTTGGGCTGTAAGCACAACCCCCACCTGTGGACGTCGGGCCCTCACACCACCCTCATGGAGTCTGTTTCTGACCGTTTGAGCAGACACATGCACATTGGTGGCCTGCTGAGGGTCATTTTGCAGGGCTCTGGCAGTGCTCCTCCTGTTCCTCCATGCACAAAGGCAGAGGTAGTGGTCCTGCAGCTGGGTTGTTGCCCTCCTATGGCCTCCTCCACGTCTCCTGATGTACTGGCCTGTCTCCTGGTAGCGCCTCCATGCTCTGGATACATACCAAAAGTATTCAAGATCTGTGAGAGGTGAATATCCAGGTAAATGCCCCAGGCTAGACAGGTTGTGGTGGTAGGGGAATCTGCTGCTCTGATCAGCTCAACTGGTTAGTTTGCTGTCTCCCAGGTGCTCGGGTCTGGCATATTGCTGACAGAGTGGATGGATTATTGGGAGGGGCTGGGGATGACCCAGTGGTCATGGTCCATGTTGGTACCAATAACAAAGTAAGAGGAAGATGGAAGGTCCTAAAGAATGATTTCAGGGAATTAGATAGCAAACTTAAGAAAAGTACCTCCAAGGTGGTATTCTCTGAGATATTACCTGTGCCACAGGTCAATGCGTGGCTGATGTCTTGGTAAAGAAAGGAGGGTTTTGGGTATTTAGAGCACTGGGCCGACTTTGCGCTTGGGTACAACCTTTATAGCAGTGATGTGTTGCACCGGGAGAGGGTCTGCAGTGCTGGTGGATAGGATGGCTAGAAGGTAGGAGGAGATTTTAAACTAGTAGTAGGTGGGGAGGGTCATAGCAATCTACAAAATGGAGATAGGACAGAAAGGAGATGGGCTTTAGCTCAGTATAAGGCGGGTGGAGATGGGGGGAGAGGCAAGCTCAAAACAGAGAAGGTACTGCTGATAATTCACAAAAAAGTACAAATGACTCATTATATTAAATGTATGCTCACTAATGTAAGGAGCCTAAATAACAAAATGAGGGGAACTAGAGGCAATAGCATACACTAAACAATATGATATAATAGGCATAACGGAAACATGGTGAAATGAGGTGGGGTATGTTTGTATGTTAGCCATGAGTTAAAGTAAAATCTTAAGCAAGTGGATTGTGATGAGGAAAATGTGGAAGCTTTATGGGTAAATATCTGCTTGAGGGAAAAGAAGGGAAATCAACTATTGGTTGGGATATGTTATAAACCACCTAATGTTAATATTGATGATGAACAACAGCTATTTTAGCAAATTGAGAAAGCTGCAAATCTGGGTAACACTTTAATTATTGGAGATTTTAATTACCCGGAAATCAGTTGGGTCAGAGGAACTAGTTGCTCAGCAAAGGGAATAAGGTTTTTGAACTTGTTAAATGACACCTTCATGTCACAACTTGTACTAGCACCATCTAGAAAGGACACTTGTCTGGACCTGGTTCTAACAAACAACATTGATCTCTTGACCAACATTCAAGAAAAAGTTCAGAGGCAGGCTACAAAATTAATAAAAGGAATGGAACATATCAGCTATGAAGAAAGGTTAACAAATTTAAACCTCTTTAGTTTAGAAAAATGGCACCTGAGAGAAATCTATTCACAAACTTTACATAAGACACAAGGTCATGCGTTTAGACTGGAAGAAAGAAGATTTCGTCTAAGGCAAAGAAAAGTTTTTTTTTACTGTAAGAACAATAAGGATGTGTATATGTTCCTCCCAGTTATGATCAAATAGTCATGGTTATCAATGACAACAAAAAAAACGCAAAAAGAAAACTAGGAAAATACATGGTTATAAGTAAAAATCATATGCTAATGTCAAGGTTAGGTTCCCCAACATGCTAACTATAGGACTAACAGACAACCGGTCCTTAAAGTGGCTGGACTTAACGTGAAGAAAAGTAAGGAGAGTAACAGAATAATCAGACAAGCCGAGGTCAGGGCAGGAGAAGGAAGAATAAACGAAAAACAAAGCCAAGGGTCAAGGAAGCCAGAAATTATGGATAACCAGAGACAAGCCGAAGTCAGATACCAGGAAACGCACAAGTATACAGAACGCACTCTCGGGCTACAATAGACCACGACAGGGCAAGGAAGTGATGTAGGAGGGCTAAGAGAGATCTGATAGGCTAGGGAAGAGAATAGGAGAGATTATAAAAGGGTTACCAGGATTGCTGCAAAAATGGTACTATCGCTTTAAGATGTGAGCGGCATGCCGCGCGTGCATGCGTGCTTCCATGGTCACGTGCGCTGTCAGTCGGAAGCTGGCAGAGCCAGGAGGAGCAGAGCGGACGGCAGGCCAGGAGCAGTGTGGGCCGTGTGGAGGTATGACAGAACCCCCCCCTTCAGGACAGCCCACTGGAGTAACACCAGAAGGGTGAGAAGGAAACCTGGCATGGAACGCTCAAAGGAGTCGTGGCGCATGGACCTCAGAAGCAGGGACCCATGAGCGTTCTTCAGGACCATAATGTGGTGACATTCTGTCATCAAACTAATATGGTTGCCAGGGATCATGTGACCAAGCTCATGTATGCCTTTCTTACAGTGGGATAAGCTTTACCATTTGATATGGTAATTGGGTAATTCAATAACTTTACAAGTCAGGAAAGAGGTAACCACTTCCCCCTATCGCCATTCCTCCCTGTTCCTTCTTGGCTGTGCTACTGAGCAGACCCTTAAGCAGACATGGCCTAATTTCTATCATGGTGAACTGTGAGTGGGATCTGGTGATTTTATAAGATGTAGTTGTTCTTGTTAGTTAGGTTGTTGCTGTTGTTGTTGGTGATGGTATAGTTAGTTAGATTGTGTGTCATTATTTGTATGTTGTTGTTGTTTTGTCTCTGAATAAATATTTGTTAAAGTAGACGGACCAGAGTTTATATTTGTATACGTACATAATAATTTATAGAATTTGGTAATTTACACATTTGGCGAACATGAATTTTAGACTTCTACAACAAATGTTTGTGAGGCGCAATAACTACCATAATGATACATAATCTAAGAGAAAGAGACTTTAGAGCATATGATTCATTTTGTTGAAACAAATATACATATGTGTTTTGTTGACTGTTTTTAATTTGTGTA